GGTGGGAGCCTGGGGGCGGGCACGGAGCCCCCGGGCAGGCCAGTCCGGTTGCTCGGCCACCGCCAGGCCACGAGGGGCAGCCACGCAAGGCTCCGCGGCCGGGTGCAGCCGAGGCCAAGCCGCGCCTCTCCCCACCATCCTGTCCCGCCCCGCCGCCCACACAGCACTGACCCTCGCGGGGAAACTGAGGTGCCCCGCCCGCGGGCAGGGGAGGGGCGTGAGGCGCAGGCCCCGTGGCCACGGGGTCCCCCCCACCGCTCACCATCCCAACGGGGGGCGGGGTCTGGGCCCAGGTGGGCTTCACCCCCACGGCCGGTGCATGTGCCCCGGGGAGCAGCTACGGGCCTGCTCGGCACACCCCCGGGGCGGGCGGGGCTGGAGCACGCGTGTCGGGGCCACTCTGGGGCCTCAGAGCAGCGTCTGGGACTGGCAGGGGAGGGGGGCCCGCCCCCACACTCCCCACAGGGAGCCCCATCGCGCGGGGCCTGGCAGGCCCCTCTGCACGCATGTTCTGTGCGCCTTCCCCAGCTCGGCCGGGCCCGCCAGCGGACCCCCTATCTCTCCCTGCGCCCCGAGGACGAGGTTCCCTCTCGGAGACAGTGACCCCACCATGGAGAGGACCGCGGGGCTGACATCCCGGGGCGGGGGCGTCAACATCGGCAGGCTGGGGAGCCCCAGCGCACAGGCCACTGGGGGAACCCTCCCGGGCAACACCCGCCCGGGCCAGGAGCCAGTGGGCGGGCCGCTGCCCAGGCGCTTCAAAGGTGTCGGGGTCACACACGCCCCAGGAGTGTCAGCGGAGGAGACTCGGTGCAAAGTGGGGCCCGGGTCATAAGAGGGCGCTGGGGGCCGGGCCGCGCCCCACAACAGCGGCGCTGCGGTGTGCTAGAAGGGCCCTGTCCTCCGCGGGGGCCCCGGCAAGTCCCGCAGGAGCAGAGCTGCCCCCAAGGAACAGCACCCAGCTCGCCTGCCAGCCACGGCACGGGGGGTCGGGGCGCCCGGGCTGGCCCAGCCCCCAGCTGGGCAGTCACACACAGCGGCGCGGGGCTGTTTCGCCAGGAAACAGCCGTTTTCTTCCCGTGGAAGGAAAGGAGTCGGGCGGAGTCCGGCGTCACCGGAGCCTGTGTGCGTGGCCTGGTCTGGGCTGAGGCTCCTGAGGAGCAGTGGGGGCCTGCGAGCGCCGGCTGGCTGCCTGGCGCCCCTGAGGGCCCCCGGGG